ATCAGAAAGAGTAAAAAGAGAAGAAATATATGTGAAACAGAGGGATGTGAACCTGGGTCTCCGCGGCCAAATGTCTTAACTGAATGAGCTATACGCTCATTCAACTAAGTGAATAGTAATATTTATTTATTATATAATTAAGAAACTATATAAAACAGAATTTACAGAAAGAGATACGTATGCAAATAGGATTCTATATATCAGGAAAAAGAATAGTAATGTGAACCTTTAGTTGCTTATAGTTAATATCTGGACTCAAAAACTAGTTACTTTTAATGGAACACAATAGGCTGTAGGAGCCTCAGGGAAATTATATTTAGAAATGATTATATTAGACTCAGAGTTAGCTGGAAATTATTGCAAAGTGTTTAGGACAGATGTCTAGTACAAAAAGCACAAGATTTAAAGCAAAATGATTTATATTATTTGAAAAAGTTATTTTACGTACATTTCATCATAATTTAAGTAGAACTTAGTAGAGCAAGGGAAACGTGTAGAATTAAGCACAATGAACTCAACCTTAAAAGAATAACTAACAGAAGAGAGGTTGCCACTATTATGAAGGTGACGAAAGATCTGTAATATAGAACATGGAGGTCAAAAAATGCTATCTTAAGTAAAAAGAGTTTGATAAACAAAAGTTAGAATGGCTGCGGGATGCGAACCCGGATCTCTGCGGCAAGTTATCACGTATCTAACTGATTGAACTATACGATCTTATACTTAAATTTATATCTTATTAAAATTAAAAAACAATGTTTTCAAAGATCTATACTTCGAAAAGCGTATTCAAACAGGACTCTACATACCTTTAAAATCTGCTAGAACTTTAGTAACGTGTACACTTTTAGAAATTATTGAAATAGGTATACTTTATCAGAAATATGCTTAAGCTAAAGCATATTTTTGAGCCTCTTTTAACTATTTGCTTAAGCATATTCGAACCTGTTTCAAAAATTTCATATGCTTTAAAAAAAAAACATGTATATTCCTACCCATCATTCTTATTTTTAATATACGTAATGAGTTCAAAAAACATCGTTATATATATTTATTATGGAACGTTTCGTAAGTTTATTTACGTTAAGAATTCTTTCGTATGTTATGATCCGAAATACTTTCGTTTCAAAAGAAATTTTATTTTTTATCAATATTTCTAAAAATAAAACCATAAAATTTAATATGTTGTTATACTGAAAATAAAAATTCATTATAAACATTTTGGGATTTAAAGATGTTAATTTTTACAATTAAAATCAGTCTGGCAAACAAATTTTTTTTATAAACTTCAAAATGTCGCTTGGCGAAAATATTTGTTTCGCAAGTGCGACTTCCGAAACCGCTACTTTCGTTTGTTGCAAAATAGTTTTGTTTCGTATGTCAACTTGCGAAATTTCGGAAGTGGCTTTTGCGAAATGAACATCGGCGATTTTAAATGTTTTGTAACACTCGGTACGAAAAAATGTAATTCCTCGTTCTCAATCTCCTTACGAAAGAATGTTATTTTTCCGGAATTGAACGAAATCCTCCGGTTAACAACCTTATTTTAAATGTCTTCTTTATCAAATATATCAAACATTTGAAATGTCATAAAGTATAAGTATTAAAAAAAAAAAAAAAAAATTATTATTTATTTATAATAGTTTATATTATATAGCTATTATAAGATATATTATTAAAAAAATCAATAGTATGTATCTGGCATTGAAGTTGTTAAAAGCTGATATTTTACATTTTAAGTATGTCTTTTTTGTTTAAGTTTTTCTGTGTTTGATTGTAAAACCCCATCTACTAACATTTTAAAACAGTGTACGAAAATTGATGTTACTAGATTTTATATTCTACTTATGTAGGGCTTTCTATTATTGCCAGACATTTTATTTTTGGACTAATGACTAATCTAAAATAATTGTTTGAATTATGAGATTAAATCAATAAATAATCATTAAAAACTTTAAAATAAAAAAAACTCAATTTAAATCATTATTTTGTATTTGTCTGATTTAAATCATGATTTAAATCGAAACAACCTTTTATATATTCCATCATTCTAAGGCAGAGGGACATTATTCTTGGTTTTATTATTTTTTTAATTAAATATCTATACTTTAATTGTATATTTTTCATGATTAGCTTGCGTACAACAGTTAACAACCTTAAGCTTGGACATTAACTTTAGTTATAACCTTATTATTAATGATTTGATTTATAGATTTTTGTTGAAATACAAAATTGAACTTAGCAGAAGGCTAAACTTCGACTCTCGAGAAAAAAAAGTAAAACAGCGAAAATGACCAGCCAAAATAAAGATTAAAGAGATAAAAAGTTGTGTATATCTTGGTGTAGATGATTTATTCTCAATTTCTCATAATAAAACAAACAATTTTATTAAACTTTGGGATTTACCTGTAACTCCAAACTCTTTATAGAATTTCAATGTTTGCTCTAAGAAGTTAATTGAACAAAGTTTATTAAATGGTAAGTTTTTATATAGAAGACTTTATGTCTGATGATTGAAAATTTTTATTCATAGCTTTAACTTTTACAATTTTAAAGACTTTTTCATATATTACGGTCAAAAAGTCAGAGTGTTAGATAATATTTTACTAGCAAAAAGCAACCCGTAATACGGGTTTTGGTTGGTCTGTTACATAATAAATTTATAGTGGCTGTTTTCCTCAACTTAATGTTGCAAAACCTTAGCTAATACCCTTTTAGAAAATCGCCTTCAGCTTGAAAAAATTAATCCATCTGTAAAATTAACATAAAAGGTGTGAGGAGGTAAAATAATTTACTACTTAACATTATTTGAGTAATTTACAAATGGCATAGGTCATAACAGTGTAAGGCAGAACCATTTTCATCAACCAACCTAAGTTTAACACAATACGTTTTTAGTCACTGACACAATAATACAAAATCAACTAAATCCTTGTAATTATTTTTATAACACGAACAATTAAGATTAAAATGAAGTTAAATTATATTATACAGGAGTTATCAATTTTTTGGTATCCCCTTGATTAATTTTTCTTTAGAAAATTGTTAACTTAAAAATGTTAAATGCACACATTTAAATAAATTTATTAAAAATAACAAAGTTTATTATAAACAACTAAGCAACTGAGAACAAATACGTTTCCAACAAAAAAAGTTTAATTTACGATCAAACACGGGTATAAGAAATTTGAAAAAATATGTAAACTTAATGCATTAATGCATCATATGACAAACCTAAAATAAAAATTATAACAGATAAGTAGACATAAAAAATTGTAAACTAAGCTGACCCGACTTGGGTCTTGTTAAGTCTGTTTAACACAGACCATTTCTATATTATTTATTTGGCCTCTTTATTACATTAATTTTTAGTAATCGGTAATTTGCCACCATTTACTAAAAATTCCTTTTGAAACTCGAAATTTAATTTTCCTAAATATTTTGACTCTAATAAAGAGCTTCTTCCCCTCTTTTTGCTTTAATTGTGACCAAGTGAATAAAATAAAATAATAAAATGTAAAACATTTATCTACATATATAAGAATGTTTTTTTTCTTTCCTCAAAAGTGTTGCAAATACAGACTAAGCTAACTAATTAGTTAAACACATAAATAAAACTTGAGTAACTCGATATTAATGCGCAAAACTACAATATTCTCTATGTTTTTAAAGGATTTTCGTTACGACCCCTCCCCCCCATTATTAAAGATTCCTATTTACAAAGATAAAGTTTACAAAGATCCCCATTTACAAAGATAAAATACGTATAACAAATTATTAGGCATAAAATAGATAAAATATAAAATTAACTAATAGCATATATTTATATCTTTTTAACTAACAAAAATTTACAATAAAAAGAAATCAGGTTTTTTTATTTTATAAATTTTGTAAATGCGTCATAACGTAATTCTAAAATAAAAAAAAGTAATGAAATTATGATATCATAATTACAAAGAAAGAAAAAAAAAACCACCACACAACTACCGAAAATCAATTTACCTATTTATAGTAACCTATTTTGAAATTGCAGTTAAAGATTTATTGAAAATGTAACTATAAAATCTGTTTCGAAGTGCAAAAGCATTAACAATACTAAAAAAAAAATCAAAGGAAGATACAAATTGTTGTCTTGGCTTTTATAATTTAAACATATATCCAACTATAAACAAATATGACTTTATGTAACACATATAAACACATTTTACAACTATTGAATGATAATTGTATTTGTCAAAAACTATGGAAAAAAAAATAAATAATGATAAATAAAGTTAATGTGCTCACAACCTTTAACAGTAAATTTTCGAAATGAAAAACTTAAGACTATACCCAGCGAACATGTCAGCGTTGAATCAACGTTGAAAACCGGTCGCAAAAGATGTTGCGGAAACGTTGACAAAGTATTCGATTTTGCAAAGATATGTGACGTTGTTAATGAGACGTTGATTAAATGTTGTAGCGTAACGTTGAAAAAACGTTACTAAAAGACGTTACATTAATGTCTCATCTAAGCGTTGAAAAAGCGTTACTTAAAAAGCGTTGCATAGGCGCCGCAACTTAACGTTGAAAAAACGTTACTTGAAAAGCGTTACTTTAACGTTGTTAAAGCAGTTGATTTTGCAAGGATTTGTAACGTTGGTAGTAAAACGTCGATTTAACGTGACTCAAAGACGTCGAGTAAAGGTTGAAATATAACGTTAAATCAACGCTCAAATGCGCTGGAGAAAATATCGCAAAATATTATTAAACGTGATTAAACTTGGTTATAATGTATATTGAATTTGCAAATAAAACAAAATTGTATGTTGAACTCTGCACTTGCAATATTTCCAAAGTCGATTTTTAATACAAATAGTAATATACAATGAAAAACATAAAAAATATACAATTTATTTATATAAAATTTACAATTTATAGATAAAAATATAAACATCTTTTTAAAGATTTATGTGTGTGAGTGAATTTACAGGATTTACGTGTGTGAGTAAAATTTATGTGTGTGATTGGATTTACAGGATATCGTATCGATAAGTCAGGATATCATTGAGATACAGAATCTAAATCAAAAAATAAAACTTGTATTATTATCAATCTGAAAGCAAATGTTTAAAAAATGTTTTTGAATTAGTATGATTATTATTAAATTTAAAAAGTAAAAACAAATATATATATATATATATATAAATTATATATATATATAAGTTATATATATATATATATATATATATATATATATATATATATATATATATATATATATATATATATATATATATATATATATATATATATATTGTCGTAATTGTCGTAATAGCATAAAATAAGTAATTGTTTTTAAAAATAAAACGGCGTTTTTTATTCTTGAAATGTTGTGTAGTAAACAACTGGGGTTGATAATTGACTGGGACCGGGGCCGGGTTTGATAAAATATAGCCGGGGCCAGGGCCGGGTTTGAGACCAGGCTGCATAAACATTTATACATCCTAAAGTATATTTTTTAAATTTAAAATTCATGCTATATTTTGTATATATTTGCATATATGAACATCATTGTGATCAACATGATCATTATAATCATCATAACCATCATCATCATCATCATCATCATCATCATCATCATCATCATCACCATCAACAGCATAAAAGCAGAAAGCTTGACAATGATAATAAAAATTATGTTGATGTTGTTGATCGTCATCATGATAATCATCATCATCTTTATTATGGCTCTATGTAAGGCACACTCTTCAAATTTTCTTACATCTACCACAATTATTTTATACTGAAGCTGCTACCACTCTACTTGTCAATACCTGAATTACTTTAACTTTTTATAAAAAAAAAGGTTGTTTGATACAACGTTTTTTCTAATCTGTCAAAGATTATGCCTACTTTTTATATCTCGTTAGAGTCACACCACACATCCATCTGATCATTTTCTCTTTCGGCAAATACTACACTATATAAATACTAAAGTTTATACAAAAATGAAAGAATATTGTATGCCAGCATCTAAACAAATAGAAAACAAATATGCTTATATCCATAATATGTGTGCAAAAAAAGCATCTTGGAAGCTTATATTGCTTCTGGAATAAAAGTTTGGAAGCTTTTATTACTTCTCTTCAGTTTAAAATCGAGCCTCATTCTACTCTACATCTTTCAACATTAACTACGTTTTTCAGCTTTTTTATAAGAACATCTCTCTTAAGAAAAAATTGTCCTTTTTATTATTGCAATAAGCTAATGTATAAAACAAGTCTTGTCTGATGTAAATCTCTGTTATTCTCAGTTTACTAAACCTTGTATCTTATCTTAGATGTCGATTCTAGAGACTTTTGGTTAGTTTTCAAGAGTGTTATTAACTCAAGTAAGTCTGACGTTTAATCTCTATCTTATGGGTCTCATCTTTTTACTTTACCCCAGAGTAAAACAGAGCTATTTACAAGGATATCTTACTCTAGTTTGACTCTGGAATATAACGGCCATACTCTTCCAGACAGTAAAATATTTTTGCTAAACTTTAAATTAATCCATTGTTAAACATCAAAACTACTCTAGCTTCCAATACTAAAACTAATTCTCAATTAAACACATCTACAATGTGTGCTTCAGACAAGATTTCCATCATAGTCTTAAAAAAGTGTTCTCCAGAACTATCTACAACTTTTGCTAAACTTTAAAAAAGTGCTAAATACGTGGTTCCTATTTTTCAAATCTCTAGAAAACACTTTGACCTCTCCAAGTATCCTACAATTCTTCTTCACTTTGTTAATAGTTTCTTATAATTTTCTATGAAAAGGTTTTGAGGTAATTAAATTACTTCTTTCTAACTACAGTAGTGAAGTTATTCTTGAAGGCTTACCCTCTTTATTTCAAGTAACTTTAAAGTTCTATATTTGTTCCTGTAATATTTTTTATCTACAATAACAATCATAATGAAATCTAAAGTGGCTCTGTTTGCTGATGACTCCACTTTGTACTCTTGTCTTGACAATAAATCTTCACTTTTTAATTGCTTAGAACAAGCAGCAAAGTTTAAATCTGATCCCTCTTCTGTAATAACCTAAGGCTTGCTGTGTCTTATGGATTTAAATTCTGAACTTAAAATCCACAATATTTGTTAGACAACAGAATTCATTTATTTACTACAAAAAAATATTGCAATATTGTTGATATTCCTATATTGACAAAAAAAAAAACTATAATTATTATAATATATAATAATAACAATAATAAATATATATATATATATATATATATATATATATATATATATATATATATATATATATATATATATATATATATAGTATATATATATATATATATATATATATATATATATATATATATATATATATATATATATATAGAGAGAGAGAGAGAGAGAGAGAGAGAGTGAGAGAGAGAGAAAATTTAAATAAGTGCCAGTTCGAATAACCGTAAATTTAATGTGTGTATATATATATATATATATATATATATATATATATATATATATATATATATATATATATATATATATATATATATATATATATATATATGTACATATATATTTATATATATATATATAAATTTTGCAATTAAAAATAGTCATGTTTCCATACATTAATTAACTAAATAAAACTTACTTCAATAGGTGTAACTCTAAATCCTCAATTTAAATCATATTATTGTTCATAAGATGCAAACCAGTTAAAACCAAATCATTCCTTGATTTTTGATCCACCAGAACTTTACTAAATAAACTTATACTGGTAATCAAACTACCACAAGTCAAAAAATTTAGACAGTATTATTGAAATCAGCTTTGACCAATAGTTAATATTAGATTTTTTTTTATTCTTTACTATATAAAAAAACAAAGAAAAGTTAAATCCGAAGAGAAACAAAATTATTCACAAACATAATTACTTACATTCTTCTTCGGAATCCTCTTTAGTCGTGAAATTAAATCCTGCACATACTTTTTTATCTATTAGTAATTATTTAGTAAAATAAATATAAACAAAACTATGTAAAAACAAAAATGTAGAATAAGTGTAAACAGATTACAATATATATCTAGGCAGTAATAATACCATAAACAGATTCAAAATATTACTTATTCCGAAATAAAAATAAAGTAGTTTATTTGATATAATACTTCACCGTTAATATAAAACTATAACAGTTTTTTTATTCATATAAAAAAATTAAAATAGCAATAATTACTGTAAAATTTAATGACCTCCAGTTACATTAACTCTTTCAAGTCTAAGCTTGTTGCAGGAATAAATGGTTGGAAAATTATTATAGGTAGCTTTCATTGCATGAACTCAAGTTGGCCAAAATAACCATCCATCTTTTTTCGAACAAGATGGAGCAATTGCCTCTGCTTCAAACCTTATGTATATGTAAATAATGTATATATAAATCTTCATATATACATTATTTATATATATATATATATATATATATATATATATATATATATATATATATATATATATATATATATATATATATATATATATATATATATATATATATATATATATATATATCAATATATAGTTTTTATGTGTATACACATAGCTGTCATGTTTTGAAAATGTTTACAAGGGAGATTTGGAAAAAATTTTATACCACTAGATATTTGTCCACTAAAATACCTCTATTGACTAAAAAAGTTTTTTAATGATTTATTACTCTGGCAACTAACTTAAAAATGTCCAAAACTGACTGAGCTGAAATTTACTCTGTATAGATATACTTTTATATATTTATGTTTATGTTTAGCAATTTTTAACAATCTTTAACCATTTTTCTTAATTTATAAATGAAAACAATTTAAAAAGTTAGAAGCTTGATGAATTTTAAGTTACTTATGAGGACAAGAAAGTTTTTAAATTATTTTTAAATGCAGGTTGGAGATAAATTTCTCTTTAAAATTCAGAAAACTCCTGCCAAATGGGAGAGACTTCATAGGTCTGTATACAGATACTTAATAAAACTAGTATACAAACTCTTAATAAAGTAATAAATGTTAAACTATATAAATATTAAATTCCTCATAAAATATCAAACTCTCAAATATTGATAATAATTTTTTAATAAAATTTCCAAACCATTATACCAACTTTTATACTTTTCAATAAAAATGACTAGACATGACAATATTTTGTATGTATGTATAAATGTATAAGTGATAATTTTTAAATAAATTACAAAATTTATTCTGTTAACAAACTTAATTTAGACTGACTTATTATGTTTTAATAATTTTGATAATATTTTATAAATGTGAATCGTATTAAAACTAAGTACTATTTCTAACTAAGAAATAAATTTTTAAAAAAGTTGATCATTTTATTAAAATCATCAACTTAAAATAAAATAAAACATTCACAAAAATAAGCTGAATAAATCGAGTTTACCCTGAGATTTATGTACTTTATATACATTTTGATATAAAATCTAAAAGTTTTAAATTAGTCGCAATAAAATAGGCTATAAAATATAACTTTATTAAAAAAAATTTTATACCATATGCATGCATTCTATCAAGCTTTCCTTGCCTTTCCATTACGGCAAATTATTTTTGTAATGGCTAGTTATAGAGGCAATAATTTTTAATGTGCCACTTCCTCAACATTGTCAAAACAAAGTTTTAATAACGTTGGCAAAGTTACACTTTTTCAACGTTTTTTAATTACCACAATTTCAACCAACGTTGAAATAACGTTGAATAAGTGTTGTTTTTCAAATAGTTTGAATTCGTTGAAAAAGCACCTAATGTCTAACGTTGATAAACCATTACCTTTGCCAGTGGCGGAACTTCAAAATTTGCCCCCCCCCCCCCCCCGCAAAAGAATGTTTTTTTTGCGGAAAAGAGTTTTATAGTATAAATATTATTGAGAGTATAACTTTTTTTATATGAGAGTTCCATATAGCTGGTAGGCCCCCCCCCCCGCAACGCAGGGTCCTGCGTCTAGTAGTTCCGCCACTGACCTTTGCGACGTTTTTACAGTGATTATTTGCGTACTAATTTTCAACATTTAATAAACGCATTTTTTTGAGAAGATAAGATACGTTTAAATTTATACGCTTATTCAACATTGAAAATGTAACGTTTAAATAGCGGTTAGTTTTTAACGTTGATAAAGAATATTCTTTGAAACGTTTTTAAAGTGGCTTTTTGCGTAAGTTGATTCCACGTTGAGTAAACGTTTTATTTTGAGAGGCTAAATTATGTTACAATTTCAACGCTTATTCAACGTTTTAATTTACCGCGATTTAGTATACAAAAACAGACATTGATTCAATGTTGAAAGCACGTTGTTTTTGTGACTGTATCGCTTTTTCTACGCTGCGACTGGTTTTTAACGTTGATTCAACGCTTACATGTTTGCTGGGTAAATTAAGAGCATTAAAAAATATAACAATATTTATGTTAAATTTTTTTACCTACTATACTATGAATAAGATGTTTATCAATTTTAAAAAACAAACTATTAAATGCTTTAGTTTTTGAAAATGCAATATATAGTTGACCATGAGAGAAACACGGTTTTTGAGATATTTCTTTTCTCTATATGTTTAATTTCGCGTTATGTAATATATGACGATCCCTAAAAGAAAATACTTGAAACTAAAAAGATTTTATTTATTACAATATTTAAACAAACAAGGGACAATTTAAAAAATTATATCTTTAAATAGCAAATTATTAATCGCAGTATTAAAAAAATACGCAAGAGCTCAGTAATTTCATGAGTTTAATCAATTCTCTCTCTCTACAATTCTCAATACTAATTCTTATTTAAGTCTCATTTAAGAGAGAGAGGAAGTATTTTAAAAATAGCACGTTAGAAAAAGTAAAAAAGTCATGCAAGAAATAACAGTAACTGCTTTTATTATGCTACCAATAAACAAAATTATCTTTACCTTAACTAAAAGTTAATTTCCAGCATTTCTTAATTAAGTTCCAGCTTCTCTCTAACTGTTGACAAATCATTAATATTGTAAATTTCACATCATATTAAATTTACAAAATTAAAACCATGTTTCAACAGTAAGCAAAATAATCAAGTGATGACAAAGACAACTAAAAAAAAAAGTGAACACAATTATGTTTAAAATTACAAAAAAAAAAATAATAAAAAAAAATCATTTATATTGAAACTGTTATTATTTGTTACTATAAATAGTAAAATTCATACTTTGCTTTATTTTAAAGTGTCTAATGTAAAATCTAATAATAGACATCAACACCGCTTGGCACTGAATTCTGGCAAGTTTTCTGTTCATCAAGCAAAATTTCTTATATTTCAACGACAATTAATTTTATTACGGCTAGATCTATTTCTTTCATATGATAACAATTTTAAGTCACTTATAACCATTTACACTAATAACTTCTTCGAGTTTAATATTATACATCTGTTATCATTAAATATATTACCAGTGATTATACTACTGTTACAACTGAACAAATGAACGTTTTATAATTTAGAATTGAAAAATATAGAACAAAATCTATTGACATTATTTTAATTTAGCAAAGAATTTAGACTACAATGCAAAGTTATTTTTACCTCCAGGCACAATCTTAATGCACAAAAATAATAAATGCAGAACCTTGTATAAAAAATGTCAGTCTAAAGTAATACATGTATGAATATATATATTCAAATTTTTTCTATTATTTTTAATTTTTTCTATGAGATAATATTTATATAGATTCAGAGAAATATAAAATATTCTGATATATAGGCACATTTATGTATATAAACTTACCTGTCAAAAATTACAGTCAGTTTTCCATGTTAAATACATAAAATATATATCTAACATTAAATAAAACAAAATATTAAACTTACTCAAATCAGTAACAGTTCGACTGTCTAAATATTTTTATTATTAACCCTTCCATTTAAAAAAGGAAACAAATGATTTGAAGTGACTAAAAAGCACTTTAGCTCTTTCCAATTGCACTAAAAAGTAAAATAAATCTTGCTTGGCTAAGTTGCCTTGTTCTTAAGAATCTAAAAACAAATAAGTAAAAAACCAAGAACAAACAAACATTTATTTATTAAAACTACTCTATTTAAACAAATTAAATTAAACAGAGAACAACATTGATTCTCTTTGAAAGCTGAAAAACTTTTCAGCTCAAATTTGCTTGCAGACCTTGCTTATAAAACCACTTGAATAAGAAAAGCATCAAAAAAGCCTAGAAGCTACTTAAAAATGGTATATGTAACATTGAACTTTGAATGTTGACTGGAGTAGATATTTTTAAAAAATTCAAAATGATTTGTTATTCTATAGCAAATAAAACCACTATAAATCTGAAGTTAAAAACGTAACAAATAAGTAAATACAAAGAAAAACATCATATGTAAATTGAAAATTAATGTACCTGATAGAGATAAGCTGTTGTGATACCTGAGTAGTAGTTGCTAAATATTTTCTTTTTCCTGATAAACAAAATGTATTTATAGCAAAATGATGTCTTGAATGAATTTTAGTAAATAAATAAAAGCAGTGAGTTCTAGTAACGAAACAACCTATTAATCATTTTTAACAGCTGACGCCAACGTAAAGATATGCCAAAGGTAACAACATTACGCGAAAAATTATTAAAGATAATGCAATTTGTTTTCAGAATAGTTATATTAAAAGCTAGGCAACACTTAGACCTAAAGCAGTAACATCGCTTGACTGGTGAGGTTGATAAATCTTGCTCTACACGTTTGCCAAGTCACGCCATTTTGAAATCATGGAAACAACATTAAATAAACATATATACTAATTATAAAACACAATATATTTTTTTATCTTACTTAACATATAAAAACACCTCATTTAACAATCATGCACAAATTAGATATAATACATTTCATACTATTATAAAAACACATTTATAAAACAACTGTATAACATATATAACCACATCCACGTATTTATCAAAAAAAAATTTAACTTTGTGCATAATATACATGCAAACATATATGCAACTTTTAACAACTATAAAACGACATATATTAGCATTAATTATTTTTAATGTAACAAAGAATGCAGACTACAATGCACAACATTGTTAATAAAAATGAAGTTATGTCAGTCAGTATATATTTATCTAAAGTAATGAAAAAGAATGAACCATTTAAAAACAAAATTAAAAACTTCTAATGAATATATATTTACCTTAAAATGAAGCATAACACAACACTCTTTTGAAAAATTCTAGAACAATTTTTCTTAATTTTTCTATTCCTTATTACTTTTCCTTAAGGAAAAGTAATAAGGAATAGAAAAATTAAGAAAAATTGTTCTAGAATTTTTCAAAAGAGTGTTGTGTATGTATATTTTCTCTAAGTATATGTATGTATATCTCTCTGTATGTATGTATATCTCTCTAAGTAAGTGTATGTATATGTATATTTTCTCTAAGGCCTTAGAGAAAATATACATATAGATATAGAGTAATATAAAATAGACTGAAATAAATGAAAACTTATGTATATAAACTTACATGACCACAAATAACAGTCTTATTATATTTAACTTTTCATATTAAATACATAAATAAAATTTTATTCTCATAATTCTTTTGATGAAAAAAAATCTTAGGCTATGTATGAGAAAATGAATTAAACTTAATAAAAAAGCGATCAGTTACTCTTAACTGCTCTAAATAATAAACAAATACTTGCTTAAAATGTTTTAAAAAACTAATGACAAAACTGAAACAGTTTTCTTAAAAAAGAAACATTGTACTAATAAAACTATTTTACCGGTCTATTTAGTTCTAACTTCTTCAAAAAATGAAAAAAAAAATACATACTTAGATACCATAAAATGAAGCATAACACAACATTCTTTTGACTAATTCCAGAAGAATTTTTTTAAATTTTTCTATTCTCAATAATTTTTGCTAAGAGAAAATATACATATAGTATAGATATAGAGAAATTTAATATATACTAAAATAAACGCAAACTTATGTATATAAGCTTACATGAACACAACTAACAGTCTTATTTTATTTAACGTTTCATATTAAATACATATATAAAACTTTATTTTATATATAATTTTTTTTGCAAAAAACAATCTTAATCTATAAATAAGAAAACGAATTGAACTTACTAAAAAAACCAACAGCTTCTCTTAACTGCTCTAAAAATTAAAACAATACTTGCTTAAAATGTTCTAAAAAGACTAACGACAAAATGAAACAGTTTACTAAAAAAGAAACATTTACTAAAAAAACTATTATACCAAACATTTTAGTTCTAACTTCTTCTAAAAAATAAAAACAGGCTATAAAAATTAGAAAAAATAAAAATAAGCAACAACAAACTAACATTTATTTAAATTTTTATTTTAAAAAATAAACAACATCAATTCTTCTTGAAAATAAGTGTATCAGCTCCAATTTGCTTGCTGATTTTACTCGAAAGACCGCGTGGAATATATAACTGCGCTTAAAAAAGTCTAGAAACAACTTAAAAACTAAGAAATAGTGTATTTTACATAATGCAGAACTGTAATTAACAAAACGAGCAATAGGCGTAACAATGCGTAACTATGCGCACTAATAATATTCATTGCCGTATTTAGATTATATAAAAATTAACATAACCAAGCTTATACCACAAGCTTCGTCGGGAGGCGGGAGCAATCGCTCTCGAATACTGACCACCAAAATTATATTTAGTTGCAAAAAACTGGACAGGTTTTTTTGTCGTTTTGAAAATATTTAAGTTAATGAACACAATTTTTTTTTTTTAACAAATATTTTTTAATGGATTTCAAAGTTGGTGTCACCAACTTTGAAATACATTTGAAAGCAAGTGTTGAAAAAAACAACAGAGTAATCAAATCAGTTTAAAGTTTTAACTGTTGTTGGTCGATCATTATTATTCATTTTATAAAGGGTTTTTTAAATTTATCTAATAGACATAGATAATAAAATATTTTTATAGATGATATTATTTTTAAAAATTGCGTTACTAAAATTCATAACAAAAATATGTAAAAAAAATTGTTTAAGCATTGAATTGTAACTAAAAAACACATCAAAAGCAGTTATAAAAGTTTGAGTAACAAAAGTATGCTAATTACTGTATTGCCTGAAAGTGTGTCATTGCCATTTAAAGCAGTAAAGAATTCAAGTACTCTGGAAGAAAAAAAGGCAACAAAACACTTTAGAAAATGGGAGTGTATACAACATTGGAAAAACTTTGTATACAAAATTGGCCTAACATTGGCCCAATATCGTATCTTATCTAACGGCCTAACGTTTTATGCAACATTAAATCGTTGT